ATACAATAATCAATCATCATACCTATTGACAATGTATCTTCATCAATAAAACTAGGATCAGATCCTCCTAGTACATTACCAGCTCTCACTGTGATGGTATAGTTCATACCACTGTACAGACCTATTAATGTATAACTGTATGTTGTAGTGGACTGATGAGGAGCAACAGAGACTGTCTCATTCACTGATGACAACTCCGGACAAGATGGAGTATAGGAGATGGTGTAGTATGTTACATAGTTGTCACTACTGGGAATAGTCCACTTCACTGTAATACCAGTCGTTGAGACATTAAATACTGAGAGACTAGTTACTGGACTAGGAACTACAACACATATCAATTACACTCTTTCAATCATAATAACTCACCATCAAATTTTAACACTGTTACTGTACTATTAACTGAAGGAAGATCTATATATGAGTACACACTGATGGTATAGGTACTCATTGGTGAGAGATCTGTTAGTACAATTTCCTCTTCACTGGTAGATACTACATTCCTGGTTACACCTCCAGTAGTATACTCAATCACATATCCATTGATTTCTGATGAAGTGGTCCAGTTCACTTTGATGCTAGTAGCATTTAATATAAACCCTCTCACATTATTTGGAGGACCACTAGGAGCTAGAAAAGAGACAAAGGTATCTACTATTGATTAAAGTATAATCATACCATGTAATATCACAGATTGACTGTACTCGACTCCTCCAATCATTGCTATACAGGTAACATTAACTGACACTCCCAGTGGATCAGGATATACCAGTAGTGTGCTGTTGTATGTCAGGACATCAATTGATGAATAGTTTGAGTTACTCTTCATCACTCCATTCACTAACCAGTAAACATCAGTTGAAGGATTTATATCAGTAGTTGTGACACAATCAATACGATATTGAGTGTTATTGAGTTGTGTAATGGATGTGACTAGTGTCCAATTGATTGAATTAATAACTAGAAATACATCAACAATGTTACAAGTACATTAAAAGGTGCAGTAGCAATACCTGGTAAGGTCTGTACACTGATTGTACTAGCAGGTCCCAGTAATTCTTGATAGGCTCTGACTGTGATGCTATAAGTTGTCTCTATATTCAGTCCATTCAGTGTGATTGTATTATTACTAATTCCCTCCAACTGTACTGTCTGCACAGTGTCTGTGTCACTAGTGACATTGACTACATATCCATCAGCATCAGATGAATTAAGTGCAGTCCAACTGACAGTGATAGTGGTAGTAGTCTTGCTGACCTCAGTAAGAGAAGAGGGAGCAGTTGCTGGGACTATATAACAGAGAGATATTATTATTATTGGCAGATTGTATTTTTACCTTTAATGGTTAAAGTACGTGTTCTATCAATACCACCACTAAAATTATCCAGTACACACTGATACATTTGATCTCCAGTGGTTGATTGACTGATTGATCCACTACTGACATTCATTCCATCCCATGTGATATCAACAGTATATCTTAATGTGTTGGGGTTGCCACTAACTAACACAGTACCAGAACAAGTATTGGTTCGATCATCACAATTAGTATAACTAGCCAGTGCAGTACTACCAATGCTCATACTAATACCATCATAGCGCTCGAATCCAATTTTAGTACAATTCAGTTTGTATTCCTGAGGATATACTGTCATATCAGAAGGAAGATCAGCAACAGTAAATGATTCTATCTCTGCATATCCTATAAATGAAAATTATTACATCAGTAAGTGATTATAGTCTCCTCTTACTGAATATATCAGCAAAGATGATGTTAGTGTTAGGATCTGAACAATTAGTGGGTAGACAACACTTGTACCAGCCTTCTTCAGAATTTGATAGTCCCTGAGCAAGATAAAGATTGATAGTAGCAGGTGAAGTGACAGAACTACAACGAAAAGGATCACTGGCACTATTACTGTTACAGTCAACAGGATCATCAGGATCAGCAACTCTAACCCACTGACCAGTAGTTAGATTAGTACCAGGTAACACACATGATATAGCTTCAGTAACTTCATTGACACTATTGTCAAAAAAATATGATCCATTTGGATAACAGTTTCCATTATATGCTAAATAGATACCTATAAAATCAGTACTTATACATTATATTTATATTAAAGTTGAATACCTTCTTGTTCACAATGAGTAAA